CGAAAAATACGGTATTTCTGATCCAGTTTACCTCGTGCAAGTTCTAGAATGGGGTCCGGATAGGGTGCATGTTTATTTCCTAATTATAAGTACTACTAAATCTAACCACCTTTTGACTATTCTTCCTGACATTAAGATTACTAGGACTTTGGCATAGTGGTTAGGACGCTCGACTACCAACATGCAGGTTGCGGGATCAAAACCAGGCACCGATTATTCTCGTTATTTCAGCCGTGGGAGCGTTATAATATAATAGTCAATGCAATTACTCATTGGTATAAAGAGTAGCCCAATATATGGTGGCGGGTGCTACCATCTGGTTGCCTTCTTTCTGGTTCGCAGTTCGAAATTTAGAGATAACGGTAGGTAGTCTTAATAGTTTTGTCATAAACAAAACAAAATTAATAACAAAAAACTAGAAAATTGCGAAACAGATTTTGAATTGTAAGTACGTATACGGTTACTTTTAGTAAGGTCGTTTAATTAACATAAAGATAAAAACAGTCTACAATGCAACAATTCCCAGGAAACACAAAGCTTTAAAATAATAACTTTAGCTGCATTGTGTTCGACATGTATGTAGGTTGGGAAACATGGTATACACTTTTCGACTTATTTTGATGGTAGAATTTGTTGACCGATCAGTATAAAAATACCCTGAATCTTTGTCATACCATCTGATACAACACGAAAGGATAACAAAGCAAAGTAACAGGGTTTTAAAGCCAAATAATCCCGGCTACGATTCCTTATTCTAGCGTTTAGTTTTTCGTTGGTTTCTATGAGTTAACTTCCAGTTAGTTATATAGATAAGTTCTTTCACGGATATTGTATGGAGCTTCAGGAACTCTGTTGACAACTGAAAACATCCTTTTGAACTGGATGGTGAAATGTCTCATGGCTTCGGAGCATGCCAGCGTTAATGGTGCGTGACTTCTCATCGATACTCCACTGGAATTAAACAATTCACAATATTTCGTCTTAATTGTTTGAAGTTAAAGAACGAAACAAAATTACTACTGTATATTACTTTTTATGTGGTAAATATTGCATCTTTTGATTGAGATCTGACCCATCGGTAACAGCGATAAAATCAGCCTTAAGGCTTCGATGAACCTTGTGTATAGAACGTTGTACTTGCACCACTGACCTAAATAAAGTTCAAATACAAGAGTTTAGCAAAAACATGTGGAATGATATTTGACGTGGATGGAGGAGGGAGATAAACATGGGTAGTCAGTGGCATAGTGGTCTTTAAATTGGAGACCTTCCGAGCTGTAAGATTTATGATGTGAGTTTGTTTGTTTGTTAAGCACGTAGAAGTACAATGGGTGTGCCCATCGCAACGATTACCCCCCCCCCCTCCCCAAGCTTGTAATGCCAGAAAGGGTCTTCTACAACCCCTCACATATCTTGGATGTTGGCATACCATAGTTATAGTAGTGATTGAAACACTATTATTTAGTTCAGCGTCAAATTTCTTTGACATGAAATAATAGAGATACGCAACTGGCTGTTTAATTTGTGAGTTAGGCTTAACAGCGAACCTAACTTGTTGATGAGGTAATAAAATGCTTTCATTTCATTAAGTAGATTGAACTTGGCATTATTTTTACCAAATAATGAAAAAAACGATCATGTCCATCGATAACAATCGTTACAACAAGATTATATGAGCGTTGGAGATCAAAGAGAGAGAGATTGACTATTATATGTGTTACAAAACAAAGAGAGGGAGATTGATTGTTATAACCAGTGGTTGAATTGAGAGAACTCACTTTTGTGATCCACTTTGTAGTAACAGCGGGATCCAATCAGAAGATTAGAAATGCCAGTGTTTCAAATCCTCAAGAAGCGGAACGCTGTTCCTAACTGTTTCGCCCCAATTTAACCACTGATTATAAGATTGAGCATTATAACAATGATCTGGAATAAAGAAGATTGAGCATTATAACAATGTTCTGGAATAAAGAAGAAGATTGAGTATTATAACAATGTTCTAGAACAAAGAATGAGATTGAGTATTATAACAATATACTAAAACAAAGAAGAAGATTGAGCATTATAACAATGATCTGGAATAAAGAAGATTGAGCATTATAACAATGTTCTGGAATAAAGAAGAAGATTGAGTATTATAACAATGTTCTAGAACAAAGAAGAAGAAGATTGAGCATTATAACAATATACTAGAACAAAGAAGGAGATTGAGTATTATAACAATATACTAAAACAAACAAAGAAGATTGAGTATTATAACAATATACTAGAACAAAGAAGAAGATTGAGTTTTATAACAATATACTAAAAGAAAGAAGAAGATTGAGCATTATAACAATATACTGGAACAAAGAAGGAGATTGAGTATTATAACAATATACTAGAATAATGAAGGAGATTGAGTATTATAACAATGTATCAGAACAAAGAAGGATATTGGGTATTATAACAATAAACTAGAACAAATAAGAAGATTGAGCATTATAACAATATACTGGAACAAAGAATGAGATTGAGTATTATAACAATAAACTAGAACAAAGAAGAAGATTGAGCATTAGAACAATATACTGGAACAAAGAAGGAGATTGAGTATTATAACAATGTACCAGAACAAAGAAGAAGATTGAGTATTATAACAATATACTAGAACAATGAAGGAGATTGAGTATTATAACAATATACTAGAACAATGAAGGAGATTGAGTATTATAACAATATACTAGAATAATGAAGAAGATTGAGCATTATAACAATATATTAGAACAAAGAAGAAGACTGAGCATTATAACAATATACTGAAACAAAGAAGGAGAATGAGTATTATAACAGTGTCCGAGAGAAAAAGAGGAAAATAAATATTATAACAATGCTATTAAGTAAAGACTATTATTACAGTCTCACAGAGAGAAGACAGTTAGACTTTTGATATTTACGTAGAGCTAAGAAATAGGCTGGTTACGATAACAATGTTATAGGTGTGAAAATAACCTGGAAGTTAAACAGCTGACACAAAGACAATCACTTCGGCTGTTTGTCTTGTCTTTGTATCTGTACAGGGTACAGCAGACAAATCCATAAATGGTGAGTGATTAAAATGTTATAAATGTAGCACCCATGTTGTATTTTTTTCCTTTAGAAAAATTTCCTTCAACGTACCGCTTTTCGTAAATGCGCGTGCGTTATTCTGCCTCATTTGTCAATACGCTAAGGTTTTTGAGTTGGCCTAATATAAGTCACACTACCCATGCCCATATGACTATATATTACATATATGTATTATTATCCAAAGTAAGTTTGGTTGTTTTCCCCTTTCCCTCGTATCCACTGGAACAAGAGACTAGTTTGAAAATTATTAATGGTATTGAAATCGTAAAAGTAAATTAAATTTCTTTGGGAAAATGTGAACTTTTCTTCAGAAAACGCTCCCACCCCCAGTGGCACAGCGGCATGTCTGGTTTCTATACCCGTGGCGGGCAGAGCATAGATAGTCCTTTGTGAAGCTTTGTGCTTAACAACAACAACAACCTTCGGTCAGGCGTGTATTATCTGGTAGATTATCCCTGCTTCTTCTCTTATTTCCTTATATTATTTGTATTTTTTTATTTATGGCAAAACGAATAAGGCTGTCTGCCGCGGTCTCTAATTTTGAACTACTGACCAGAGGGAGGCAGCCAGTCCTCTTACTTACCGTCCACGCTAAGGGATTGACTAACTCTCTTATAACACATCGCCAACTTAAAGTACGGGGGAAATTTTGTGGTATCGCACGCAGCTCGCAAAATTTGAAATTCAGAGAACTACCACAGCCTCCACTCTGTGGATCAGCGATAAGTTTGTTTGGAATTTCGCATATAGCTACACGGGGGTATCTGCGCTAGCCGTACCTAATTTAGCAGTGATAGATTAGAAGGTTGGCAGCTAGTCAACACCATCCACCGCCAGCAGTTGCGCTACTCTTTTACCAACGAATAGTGGAATTGATAATAATATAATAACGGCTGAAAGGGCAAGCATGTTTGGTGACGAGGACTCGAACCCGCGACTCCCAGATTGCTCTAAACAGCAGGCCTGTAGAGCCCACGTATTGGGAATTATAGTTTTGTGTATTACTCAGGGTAATGAAATGACAGCAAAATTGGAGGAAATATGGCACCATAGCAGTAATTAATTGTAGTATATTTTTGTGTTACTCATTCGTTACCAGGGGCCCAGTAACGTCGTGGATCTACAAACACTTCGGTGCACAGACACCTCACAAAGATGAGTATTAAAAGGCCGAGAGTCTGGATATAATTCTAGAGTTAACTTGCAATCACGGGCGTCCACAGAAATTTTGCGGGGGGGGGGGGCATCGTACTGCACGCGCTTCATCGTTTTGATCTCAAACCAACATTTCAATAGAATATCCACATTACACACGATTATCTTTGACACGTCTTTGAATTAAACGCTTTTTAAGAATTTCGTACGCTGCTAATGAGAACAGCTTAGCACCCCCGACCTTTAAGATAATCAATTTAAATGTCGTAAAACAATTTTATAACCACCTCGAGTTCGTTTTACTTCTCCATAACATGTGTGTGTATATATCTATATTTCCACACTAATTGTATCAGTTGGATATCAAGCATGCATTCGTTTTGTTTTGATAACTTTTCACAATGGGCTGGCTATCTGTGCTGTACACGTGAAAGGGATCAAACCCAATTTTACCGCTGAGCCAGCGAGGAGCAAAATAAAGAAAACAAGAATGAAACGAGATCTTAATAAAAAGAAAATTTCCTCTTGTTCACTTGAGGAAATTTAAAAACGGAAGTTTTGTGTTTAAAAACAAACAAATAAAAGCCTTTTCTTTAGTCTTTTTTTTTTCAAAGTAATTAACTACTAAAAAAATTCCCGAAGGCAAATATGTTGTTTGTAAGTAACTCTGCGGTGACATCTTCGTGGCACATAACACACACTCACAAAACAACAACATGCAAGGTGAACGAACTTACCTCCTTTTGACATCATCCAATCGTACCAATAGACCGGTTGCTTTAAGTATTGAGACAACATATTTCTTGATTGAAGTGACCTCTGGTGGGGATTGGGATAACCTATATTCAAAAACACAGTAAGAAGTTTTTGAAATCAAGGTTTAATAAATATGAATATGAATCAAAGATGAAGAAGAATTTCGTGTCAGAACTTTGGTATTTTTATAAATAGTCTTAGAGAGTACGTTATTAATGTCGATCACTTTGGTTTAATAAGATTAGTGACTCATTGCTGTGATATCACGATATCTTTAACGTGTCTGACTTGCACACACACACACCGCTGCGTTGTTTTTACGTAAAACGTGCTCAGTTCTTCTGACCGTAAATTTACTTTCTTCTTGTTTCAGTGGTTGTTTTATTGTGTTATTTTCAGGAACGAAACGGCTGGTGTTTGCTTATTACAATTCGCATCTTATACCAAAGTTGACTAAAATACATTACTGTTTGGGAGATTTTAAACAGTTTGTATTTATTTTTGTGTGTTCGTAATGGCATAGAAGGTGGTATATTTATGGTCAAAATGACCAAGCTATTTCAATTGTGTTACTTATTATTCCATTCAAATCTACACCTACTTAGTTAAACGTACATAATTTTGGTGGGTCGTAATAACTATTAAATATTGTGTACTGGATGGGTCGTGATTGCTATTAAATATTGTGTACTGGATGGGTCGTGATTGCTACTAAATATTATTTACTGGATGGATCGTGATTGCTACTAAATATTTACTGGATCGGTCGTGATTGCTATTAAATATTGTTTACTGGTTGGGTCGTAATTACCCATCCAGTAAACAATATTTAGTAGCAATAACGACCCATACAGTAAACAATATTTAGTAGCAGTCACGACCCATCCAGTAAACAATATTTAGTAGCAATAACGACCCATACAGTAAACTATATGTAGTAATAACGACCCATCCAGTAAACTATATGTAGTAGCAATAACGACCCAACCAGTAAACAATATTTAGTAGCAATCACGACCCAACCAGTAAACAATATTTAGTAATCACGACCCAACCAGTAAACAATATCTTGTAGCAATCACGACCCATCCAGTTAGCAATATTTAGTGGTCGTTATTGCTACTAAATATTGTTTACTGGATGGGTCGTGATTGCTACTAAATATTGTTTACTGGATGGGTCGTTATTGCTACGAAATATTGTTTACTGGATGGGTCGTTATTGCTACTAAATATTGTTAACTAGATCACAGAAGAAAGATAAAAGTTTGTAAACTCTAGCGTACGGGTTTACCTTATCAAAAACCATCGTTTGTAATTACCTCTGCCACCTAAGGTTATATTTTCATCCCTGTGTATGTGTTTGTCAGCAAGATTTCTCAATTTGGACTAAAGTTGGTATACATTTGGACCGTGACCCAACTTAGAAGTGATTAGCTTCTGGAAGGTCAAGTTCACGAAAATCCAAAAAAATTCTATCTGTTAACAGGAGGACCGATTTTTCACATTAGCTCTATAACTCAGTCAAAAATGATCGGATTTTGATGAACTGTAGTGAACTATTATTCATCGTTGTTCTGCCAAAAATGGGCCGTGTCCGTTGATAACGAGGGACATTCGAACACCTTTTCTTATTTTGTGAGGACCGAATATGATCAACGCTGCTTGGCGGAGGTTTGTGCTCTACTGAGCGCCCTCTAGTTTACTTTGTTTTTTAAAAGTTTCAAATAAAGAGTAATCACAATTACATAAACGAACCCCGTTTTTAAAATTGCTTACATAACGAAAAGGAGATTTAAACTTTATGGGTTTTTTGTTTTGTTTTGTTTTGAAGTTAAGCACAACGCTACACAATGGGCTATCTGTGCTCTGCCCACCACGGGTATCGAAACCAGGTTTCTAGCATTGTAAGTCCACAAACATACCGCTGTGCCACTGGAGATCAAACTTTATGGAAGAAAGGAAAATTATCGTTTTGTTGCAAAATTATTTTTTCTGGTCTTCGGTTGCTCTCTTACCAATGAGGTTTTGAAAGGTCAGTATCAGTACTATCAAAATATAAAATATTGATTTGTTACTTTAAACGTTATTGAATGAAAAGCAAAACGTTTTTACAGACATTTTTTTCTTCTTCTTTTTTTCTGAGAAACTCCTAAAAATTGAAAGCACGAATTGGACTGTCACTGTCAACAGTTGAAACTTGGCGTTACTTGCGAATATAAAACCTTTTTTTCAATTTAATTTTTACTATGAATCCCGGGCCCCATTAGATAAGAAAGCCCATATTATTCTTAGCTTTGTTTAATGTAAACTGGCCTTTGTTACGAGACATTTCTATTGACGTAAATAAAGCCATGACTTGTATAACCAGAATGTTTCTTTAATAGCTCAACATTCCGCTTTTACAGCTTCGTCAGGAGCTATCGATATGTTACAAGTTCACAAATTCAATTGGATTAGGAGTTAAGTGCTTGAACCCACAACATTTCAACTCCTACTGTCTGCAGGCAGTTGTGGGAAGGCAGTTACCCTTAATATTTAGATATAACCTTAAAGTAGAAATAAACCACCTTAAGTTTCTACTCCCAACCTCCACCCTGTTATGAGATGTACAAAAAAGGCAAAAGTATTCTGATTTTCTCTTCTTTACAATATTCTGTATTTGAGGCTATCATTAGTTGTTGTTGTTTTTCTCTCGTAACACTATTGTAATTTGTAATAACTTGTCTTACAAATTCACAATGGAAAACAGGCATTGTTAGAAATTCTGTTGAAAGAGGTCGCTTTAACAAATAAAGTTCTATGAATATGATACGATACCGAAAAGAACATCATGCTCGCATGGGTCTGAAGAGGATGTTATATTTTAGTAGGACATAATTCAGTGACGTAACCAAGATGAATCTGCCGTGGCCGTGGCTTCGTTAAGTGTGCGTGACCAAGTATTGTTTTTAAAGAAAGATTAATATTAAAATTACATTTTTATACTGAAAAAGTTAAGACTTGAGACCACTATTTGAGAATATATACTCCTTAGTGGCTCAACGGTAAGTCAACAGGCTTACGACGCTAAAAATCGGGTTTCAATACATGTGGTGGGCAGAGCACAGATAGCCCATTGTGTAGGTTTATGCTTAAAACAACAAACAGATCAACAATTAAATTGGGAATATAATACATACTATTGTCATAAAACAGTCGGGGAAGGTAATTCCACCTGGATACTCTACTGTAACTTAACACAAAAATTAATATGCCATTAATAGTACAATGAAGATTAACGTTGTTAAGGGTTCTAGCGTGGTCAATGTGACTGCGTTCGAGCAGGATGGGGGTATAGGGAAGTTATGATGATAATAATTTCACAGGGAAAATGTATTTTGTCACTATTTATTCAAACCAAAACCATAGTTTTCTTTAGACATATCGAAAAATAGGGATTGTTTTATAGATTATTATTTGTGTCACTAATTGAACTTGGGGACCATTCTAAAGTGAGCATAACCATATATGCCCCCATCCCCCTCAGTGGCTCAGTGGTACGTCTGACCGGCTTATAACGCTAAAAACCAGGTTTCGATACCCGTGTACACTTCCTAAGCTGGTTGAACCTAATCTGGTATATTTGGGATTACGGCCGAAAATATCGCTAACAGCGAGGGTACGCAACTGACGAAACAATGCATTATAATCTCTATAAGTAAGAACGTAATAACAGTTTATCTAATTAACTATACTTATTACCGCGTTAGTTGTTAGTTATGATGGCAACCTACACAAGCAAATATTGTGTATCAAACCTAAAGGACAATGATTTAGTCGACTAATGATAGCTTAAGACATTCTCGAAAAGTTACGTATTTCGTAAATATACCGCAAAACGCGCTAGAAACGTGCCTTCTACGGTTTAGACGGTACTCACCCGTTTCGCTGATGGTTTCGTTACCTTGGTTACTAGTAGCTAGCAGATCCCTCACTTACTGAAATGTGGGGCACGAAGGCACATTACATAAATTTGGCAAGAAATGACTTCATTTGCTGTGCCACATGTAAGAAGTTTTTATCATCGATCAAAAGTTGAGGGTTCTAAATGGCCAATACAGGTGTCCTTCACAGTTTTAGGGCGTGGCTTCATCGGGGAAGCCCAGAGTATTAAAAGAACCGTTGACCTTGAGTAAAATCTGGCTGTGTTCGTACGGCACGCAATTTTTAATCTTAAAGAAAGTTGGCTTTCTTGTATATCGAACAAGGAAATCTTTGTATCATATATTATTAGTGTTTAGTTTTAACCTTTATTGTCTCGTACAATCAGAGGGGGAAAATTACTGTTTATTAGTTTATTCCAGCGGCGTTCTTATCACTTCAGTGGTGAGCTTCAAGGGCTTATAGAGGTGAAATTCCTGGCTCGATCCCCGCGGCGAATGCAGTTCACATTAGCCCAGTGTGTAGCTCTGCGATAAAAAAAAATATCGTCTCTTTAAAACAACGACAAAGGTATAGTGTTTGTAACATGGCAAAATAGTGAACGAGAAAGAAATAAAAGCATAGGATGTGATATTTTATTATTATAAATCTATTTTCTTTGTGTCAGGATGTAATTTTTTATTATTGACCCCCAGTGGCAATGCGGTATGTCTGCGGACTTACAACGATAGAAATCGAGTTTCGATACCTGCGGTGGGCAGAGTACAGATAGCCCATTGTGTAGCTTTGTGCTTAACTTCACACAAACAAATCTTTTATTATTGTAAATTTATTTTCTTTGTGTAAATTATTTGTCAGTTAAGCTTCCAAATAAATAATTTCAGTTTTCTAGAAACTAAACGTGCATGTGATGTTTGTTTGTTTATAGTTAAACATTAAGTTGTCTGTGCTGTTCCCATCATTATAAACCCTCAGAGTCACTGTGGGTTCATGTGATGCGAAAAGCAAAATTATTTATATCAAAACTGAAATATTTCTCGAATACTTTAATCCGTCATATTCGCATTGCTAAAATTAACAAACTTAAAATTGGAAATTTGATTATTTGTTTTTATTAACTCCATATCCATGCAGTTTTTATTAGGTGTTTAATAAACCCAATTGCGACTGGGATTATTCTTTATACACCCAACCTTTTAATATAATCAGTTATCTTTATATTTTGTTACGTGTAATAAGAGTTACCTGTTTTAATTATTTTGGAAACAGAGGTGCTTAATATTGTTGGTTTAATATAGTTACTCTACATTGCAAATGGCTGAATAGTTGGTATGTTCAGTACGAACAACACCTTACGTGACTCAAGGCCTAAGAGGCCAGGTGTATGTCCCCAAAATCAGGGCTTGAGTTGTATAAATTTATCAAATGGAGCTCAGTTTCACAGCCCCTATGAGGCGGGTGGGAGTGATGACGTCACAATATATGTTGACACAGAAAAGTAACTCAAATGTAGAAGAATAACATTTTGCAAAGTAGGCCTGCATAGGCGATATGAATTGGTAAGATTGTGGTAGCTTATTTTTAATTTATGTGTTCTTGGACATTCTATAACAGGAACGTTTTCATAAAAAGTTCTAACAACAGGAGCGTTTTCACAACAGTTTCTTACAACAGGAACGCCGCTCCGGTTCGCTCCACTTCAACTCAAGCCATGGCCAAAGTTCAGGCATAGTCATCCCTAATTTTGAACTGATGACCAGAGGGAAGAAAACCACCCTGCCACCCACGATCTACGCTAAGATGTTGACTGTCACTTTTATAACGGAACTGGCCGTGTCTCTTCGTTACACACCAGTAAGCTTGAGGGTTCGTAACGCTAGAATTTATGGTTTGATTCATGCAAAGGATACGGTGCACAAATAGCTCATACTACTGTTTTGTGCTAAAACAGGTATACTATTGAAAATTCAAGTTTTCATCAATTTGGAGGGAAGATCAAATTAGTCCACACGGGAACCGATCGGTAAGTTAGATGGTTTATAACACTAGAATTCGAGGCTCGATCTCTGCGGCATCAAGCCTATCGTGTAGTTTGGCTCAAAAAATAAACAACGCTTACATTATTAATAAAATGTCACTATACATTAAAATCTGGCTATCTAAACTGTAACAAAGTCAACACACACTTCTTGTCATGTGGTAAATCCACGTTTATTATTAATATTATTTATCATTAATAATAAACAAGGCTTACATTATTAATAAAATGTTACTATACATTAAACTTTGGCTACATGAACTGTAACATAGTGGCACAGCGGTGTGTCTGCGGACTAACAACGCTAGAAACCGGGTTTCGATACCCGTGGTGGGCAGAGCACAGATAGCCCATTGTGTAGCTTTGTGCTTAACTTCAAAACAAAAACAAAAAAACCATGAAATTTAAACCTCGTTTTGTTTAGCAATTTTAAAAACGGGGGTTCGTTTATGTAATTGTGATTACTCTTTCTTTGAAACTTTTAAAAAACATGCTTCATGCTTTACTTCAAACAAACAAGTTATACATGTGACTCTAAGGCGTTGCTAAGATACCGGTTAGTAACTAGTATTCTCACGTATATTAGAACTGCGTAAAAATGTATTATGTAAAGTATGAAAAACTCTTCCATTTTTAGATGTTTCTGAAACTTGTTAGATTATCATTATTAAAAGGTATTTTGAAGAACTGTTGTTCCGTTTTTATAATTCCTTGTTAAAGATTTGAAGGTAGGGTTACTAGATACGGTCTCCTAATTTACTTGTAGAAAGAACTAGTTTAGTTTTATGGTTTTCTAACTTACTGACAGGGGGAGCTAGTTTAGGAAGAGGAACTTTGCTTGATATCGAAATTCGGAGTTCACATTTTTAGCATAAGTAGCTGAGAGTGGTCATTCCATTTGGGCAGAGGGATCATTCCACTAAGGCAAAGGGATAATTTAATTAAGATATGTTTAAGCATTTTCTGGAATTCATCGTTTGCGTTTTTCAAGTTATAATAGAATTACTAGAATGGGTTCCATAATGTACCCATAGATGGAGTCGGTGTAGTTATTTTATTTTTCCGTGTTATATTTTGTTCTTTGTTACTAACTCAAACCTACACAAAGGGCTGTCTGTTCTCTGTTCGCCACGTGTATCGAAACTAAACTTTTAGCGTTATAAGCCCTCACATTTGCCGCTGAGTCATTGTGGAGGTTTCATGGATATAAAAAAAATTGAGGAAACATTGTACACTCAAACGAACAAACAAATGTTTATGAAAAATATAAGTGACATTTACAGGAAATATTAAACTATAAACCATCAATATGTCATATGTGTTTACAAAAAAACAAACAACAGTTGTGAAATCAAGATACAAAAACAACAAGAATAGCTATATATATATATCAAATTGCTTCTGTTCAACAGCACATTACAGAAAAACTATATCAACATTGACCCATCAATCTTCATAAGTGCTGAACGGTTAATCTGAAAAAAAATTAAGAATAAAATTTTTGGGAGGGAATTTCACACACACACACAAAACGGAATTTTCTCCGTCGACTGATGGAAAGAACGCTAAAAACACAAAAGAGGAATGTGTTTGGGTATATATTTGTTGTTATTTGATATATATATATATATATATATATTCATGTTGGTGTTATATATACATGCATGATTTTATTGTACCATGTTGAATAAGTTGAGTTGAATTTGATATCTCCTCTTTGATACTTTATATAGAAATGGCAACTGTCAAAAAGTGCTGATTTCGGTAGCGATTTTTCCTTGCGCTCATTAAAATGATAAGGAACGGTGGCATCCAGCGGCAAAAGATCCAGCAGATACTTAGCGGAGCTGAGCGCTCTGTTGTGCTGGATGCACCCATCGCATCGGAAACCAAATATTTTTCCAGCAATGGATTACAGTCAGTTTATTTTGCTTAAATACGCATCTAATACAATTTTTCTTATTGAAATAACGCATGGAATGATAAAAGACGGTTATAAACGGCCCACTAGACAATAGTATTACATATACGCTCTGATCCAAGCAATTGGGTTGACTACAATAGTTTCAACAAGCATCTGCTAGTATATTTATACTTTACCGTAATATGTGTTATGGACTGCATGCTTTAGCCACGACTAAAGGCCGAGTGTTGTCCGGTAGTTAGTGTGCCGGAATGCGAACTTGATAGTCCATGGTTCGCGTCCTGTTGACGTAAAATAACACTTTGGGGATACTGGTGCGTTATAAGAGTGACGGTTAAATTTCACTATTCGATTACATTTGCTCAAGAGTTGGCGGTGATTGCTGTTGACCAGCTACATTCCTTCTAGTCTGTTTGTTCAATTTGAAGAACTGCTAGCGTAGATAGCCCCTGAGTAAACAAACGAAACAATCGTCGTCTAGTGTGTAAATCAATGTTTCAAATTGTTTTTTTTTGTCTTGATAGTTCCAAACTCCAGGGTTCGAGTCTTAGATAACCCATTGTTTAGCTTTGTGATACAAACAAATGAACCCCCCTGGTCACTATATCTCAACGTTTGGTCACGATATTTGGGTGAATTGCTGTTCATGCTTCCGCTTATGGTTTGTTTTTCATTGTATGAGGTAGTATTTCCGCTTAACGGCCCAGCATGGCCAGATGGTTAGGACGCTCGACTCGCAATCTGCGGGTCGCGGGTTCGCATCCCCATCCCACCAAACATGCTCGCCCTTTCAGCCGTGGGGGCGTTATAATGTGACGGTCAATCCCACTATTCG